GCAACTGATAAAAGTAAGGAATTTGCTTGAAGCTAGCGAGTGAAATTTTTCGAAATGTGTTAAACACGTGCAAAATGTGATAAATGACGCAAATATTGGAGCGAAAAATAATTAAAAAAAAAAATGCTCTAGATTTCATAAAAAAATCACTTTAATAAACCTACTTGTATTCAGCGCAGCTCAAAAACGTAGAGTGAAATTATTTTTGCAACGTTCAGTAGCGATTGTATACTTTAGTGACCAGCACATATATGAAGTGTACAAAAAAAAATATAAAAAAAATAAAAAAATTTAATTTAATTTACCTCCAATCAAAAATACTTCATAAATCAATATGACAAAACAACAACAAACAAATAACAATAAAAATTGTTTATGAAAAGTGAGAGTGTTTACCAAATGTGTAGTTACTTAGTTGCCTTGAACAGCGATGGTTTGTTTGCATTTCTCATTCACAGTGACGGCCTTGTACGCATGCGTGCGTATGTATGTATTTGTGTGTGCGCATAACTTCGATGAGTAAAACTGAATGAGCAACTCAAAATATGAACGATGAAAAAACGCGATTAGTAATCAAATATACGAAATAAAAATTATAAAATAAAACCTCAATATAGCTTTATAAATTATGTATGTAAAAATTGTCAAATAAAAGTCTTCGAAGGAAATATAAAAATAGATCATTATGGTTTTAAAACATTCATAGTAGGGCGGGTCAAATTTTGTCTCAACTTTGTTTCGGCAACTGACGTATTCTACTGCAAATTCTGAACAAAAAACTCCATATGAGTGGTTTAGAGGGCTTCGTTTGGAAAATATTTCTAAATAGAGTTGCCACCTGTTTGAATAATTTAAATCAATTCGTATAATAAGATAGATGCAAATTACAACATGGGTGTCAAAATAAAGTGTTTTAAGATAGCTTAATTTCTAAATATTTATTTTTTGAAGAAGTTTGTCATCTGTTTGAAAAATTTAATTAAATTAAATTTAAAATTTAACTGAATATGCCTTTTAAACGCAAATTTTGTTCCGAAAATTTTATTAAGAAAATGGTACTAAATTGTTAAGATATATTAAAAGTTTGGAATGAAACGAAAGTTGCTTAAGGAATCTTTGATTATGGAACATTTTTTAATAGTGTTGTCACCAATCTAAAAATTTAAGGCAACAAACTTAAAATTAAAGTAAAGAAATTTTTGCACCTTGGTCGAGCACATAATATTAATATAAAGGGCTCAAATTTTCAGCGAATTTTTTTTTAGGTATTTCCCACAAAATTTCAAGGTGCGAGTGAAAAAAAAAATAGTCGCGAATAAAAGCACCCTAGTGTACATACAAGCGTATCTTTCATAACCAACCTTACATAAAAAATCGCTAGTCATTTTCGTTGCAATACAAATTCAATTTTTGCAATAATATTTCAACATCAAAATTTATTATTTTTGCAGTTACAACTACAAACACTTGCAGCTTGCAACATAACTTGGACTACTTGTTGAATGCTGCAAGTGGTCTCGACCAGTGAGTGCCGCCAACGCCACCAACCATCGCTAGCAAAAATACTGAAAATTGCCATAAATGCCGCTGCAGCTTCCCAAAACAGCCAGCCGACCCGCAGACCCAGATGAATGCCCCACTCAAAATGCTGTTCCACAACAAAGGCGCTATATTTTCGGCTGCTTTTAGTATATGGCTAATATGCTGTTGTTGTAAGTATTGCAACATACAATTTGCAAATGTTTATGAATTTATGTACATATATATTAGGGCTATTCGCGATTCGGTGCATAAGAGCTGACAAATTTATGCAATTGCAGAAATATGCCATGGATTGTGAGCGACCTTTATTAAACTGTCATGGTAAAGCTTTTGCAAAACAATTTTTGTGCATCAGCTTTGGTTTTCTTTATGAATGCAATGCATAGCATTTTTATGCTATGGATTTTCGGTATTGCAAATTTGCCAAGCCATGACAAATGCAAATGCGTGTATTTTGTTTGTGTATTGCAAATAATTTGCAATACAAATTTGCAATGCAATGATGCTAGGCCATTTGCACCGGATCGCGAATAGCCCTATTAACTTATTTGTATGTGAACAAATACATTTAATAAGTGTATACAGTGACTCAAACCAATGACCACGTGTTGATTTGTTTTCTTGATATTCGCAATGTTATTTTTCTATTAAAATACCGCCCGAGCTTTAACCAAAACCAAATCACAGTTTCAAACTTAATACAAAATTTAGGAAAATTCAACAAATTTTCATCAAAATTTCAACTTTTTATTCTGAACCTCTGGAATATTTTTGGGTATGCAGTTTTATAGCCCATACAATTTTAGTGTAATGAATTGCAAGATTCGAACGTTGATTTTTGAGATTTTTTTTGCGACGGGTTTTTGCACTTTTTCCATATAAGCATGCATTTCAAAAAATCTATGCCAGTTATTGTAAATTGCACTTGTTATATTAAAAAAAAAACGAAAAGTAGTCCCAAAAAAAAAAGTTCTCAAAAATTTACGCGATTTTTTAGCCGGTTGAAACTTGCACTTGGTAAGACTAGAATTGTAAGGGCTATAAAACTGCGTACTCAAAATATTTTAAAGATTTAGCTTAAAAAGTTGAAATTTTGATGAAACTATGTTAAATTTTCCTAAATAACAAAAAAAAATTTAGATCGAAAAATATTATGAATATTAAAAAAAAAGCTAGGTCATTTCTTCGAGTCACTGTATGTATGTTTGAAAGTATCTTTATTTGGTAGACAGTCTCTATTATCACATTTAATCTCCTGCACTCTCTGCATAACTTTTTATAAATTAATACTCATATATATACATATATGCTTTAGTGTTAAGCGTTTCGCTCTTTAGAGTCTGTCCTATTGTGGCAAACTCCCCAAAAATTGTTTTTAATAGCCCGCACACTACAGTCGATCACTATTGAGCAAATGCAAAACCGGTTTCAAACCTACTACATACTTATTGTGTTCGTATTTGCCTACACCATTCAGCGCTCCCTCTGCCTGTCGTCGTCGTCGATCTCGTTGGCTTCTTGGCTTTTTTAATGGCTTTTAGCCTTTTGGCCGTTCAAAGTGCTTTGGTGTGTCGTCATTGTGTCAAGGTCGACTAGTTTGGTGATTTTTTTCCTAATATATATATTTTTTTTTGCTTTAGACTATCTACATTCACACGTACTAACTACCTGAACAACGCTGATGTTATTTATTTGACTGAAGCAGCATCTTTTTTTGCTTTGTCTGCTGATTCCATACGCTTGAGTCTATTAACGTAATTGGATAGAAGACCTCCCCGCCTATGTTTCGGCTGTAAAGTCAATAAACTCGAATGGGTATTTATAAGTAGATATGTATGTATGTATGTAGATATTTTATCGTCAAATCATTATTGGATGCTTTGAGGAAGGTGCAAAGTATTTGGAAATATATGTATGTATATTGTTTTAACCTCTTTTGTTTGAAACCATTTCGAGAGATCTCTACTTTTTTTTCTACCGGTATAGAGATGGAGTGGTTTTCTACAAAAATATTGCATTTGTACTAGGTAATCCAGAAAGACTTGTGGTAGGTAATGGTTTCGAGCTCAAACCATCGGCTAATAGCACTAAACCCGAAAATCAAATGCAACATTTTTCGAAATTGTACTGCCAATTATTATTAAGATATTTAGAAAAGAAAGTGGAACGGGGTACGGTCGTTTTTCTGAGAAATGGAGTTACTGGGCTACACTCGATCCCGAATCCCCCGTTCCCGTACGCAAAACGCGAGCAGTGTGGTAACCAACCAGTGGGTACTCTCTATCCACACAAAAAGAAAGAGAGCTTAGCATCGGTGGAGCCACTCCGCCTTCTTCACTTCAAGGGCTCACTTATAGTTAAGTCAACTTAATTAATAAGTTAAATCCATTATTACAATAAGGGTATGAATCGAAATGTTTTTGAAAGGGCTCTATTCTTAACTACAAATAGGTGGGTTGCCAGTTGTTGAAAAAATCTAATTCAGTTTAAATTAAGGCAATATCTATCGGAATATGTATCACATTTTGGGTGTCAAATGAATTAGATTTAAAAAGGTTTAAATTTGAAAATATTTTGAACAGGGTTGCCACCGGTTTGAAAATTCGATTGTAATTAAATTATAGAAAGTTATATGAAATACTGAAATTTTCTTAAGTTAAATGAATTATTAAAAGATGTGTATCAATCAAAATGGATTCAGAAAGGCCTTATTTCAAAAGTATATTTAGGAGTTTGAAAAATCGAACTAAATTTATTTCATCAATTTATTAAAAATTTTATCCGAATGTCAGACGAAAGAGATTTAAAGGATTTTAGTTTGAAAATACTTTTGAAAAGGGTTGTCGGCTGTTTGAAAAATCGAATCTAATTAACTTATACAGTATTCTACGCTTAATTGCACTTTAAAAATTGCATATTTTCAATTAACCGGGGAATTAATTAACCGATACTCGTTTAATTGAACAGTTTGATCGATTACAGAAATTCCGCTGAATTGGACAACCTAATAAATTAAAAGAAAATGCATGTATGCATTTTAAATTTAATGATATTTATATAGTTTAAACTTTAAACGAAAAATATAAGCAATAAAAACAATTTGTATTATTTATTGTATACTGTACACAATATACATACATATATGGCATATTTAAATATGAGCGTCAAAAGAAAAAGTTTCATGAAAGCTTTTAAAAATACATTTGATTGGGGTAGCCACCCATTCGAAAAGACATATCTAGCCAATTATATAATAAATATAACGCGAAGGCATTTTTTGTGAGTCAGAAGATCTGCACCGTTCTTTAAAATTTCAAAAATAAGATGTAAAATGAAGTAATAGCGATTTATTTTTTTTAGTTGTTTTTAAATCGGTATAGGGTTATTTGAAATTAGAGAAACCGACACCATGCGAGACTTCTCTCCACTCAGAAACGGCCAGACGGATTTAGATTAAATTTGGCCCAAGGAATATTGTTTTTCGGGTTTTAATGTTTAAAACGTTTAATTCAATTTTGGCGTTTTAACGTTATGCGGGTTCAGTAGTACGTAATATAGTAATAGAGAAAAAGGTTTGAGTTCAGTTCTATTCTTTAATTTTCTTTCCTTCCATTTATTTGAAATTGGAAGTCTTCCACCTATTAGCTGTATGTACGGGAATCTTAGGCAGAAGTTTAATCGAAGAAAAACTCTTAAGAATTTCGCCTGTCTAGTAATATGCTCAAGGTGTTCAACTATAGGCGGAATGCAAATTTGAAACTCTTAAAAGCCAGCGATTAATACATACATGCAATTAACCAAGTATTTATTTAAAACGAATAAGCGCACCAAAACCAACGAAAAACTAAAACAAAGTGGATTAAGATAAAAAACAAACAAGCGCATGAACACATTAGGACTGGTCGGAACTTAAAATTTGTACCAGATTTTACCTGAAACCGATCCCGTACTCGCTGTGAGCAGATTTTTTTTATTTGACACTTTTACTAGTCCGAGAGCTACGGAATCAAGCCTATTATATTTTCCTACCAAAATATAATGTTAATTTTGTTTGTTTAACGCTTTGCGTTGACTTGCCATTAAGCCAAGCCCAACTCAATTTACGACTGTATTACATAATTTAAATTACATACATATGTACATAAGTGCATACATTAGAGTATGTAGCACCACTGTCCCCACAATTGTCTCTGCTGCGCTGCGTGCGTTAGATGAGGAATTACAAACATTTCATTGGAATGCCGGTGTGGCATTTTGGTCTTTGGTTTAATTTGTCTTAATTAAATATTAGTTTTGGTTGGTAGAGTATGTTGCTTCAATTGGAATACATATTTGTCTTGAAAAGCAATATGTGTCATAAACTTGAAAATATTATATGATTAATAGCGCTTATTTAGAGATTGAGAAATCCACCCTAAATCAAGTTTATTGCATAACTGGGAGCATTTTAATATCTGTGCTAAAAAAATGTTTATAACCAAAGAAAACAAGTAAATGCTTTGATTACACCGCGCGGCAGTAAAAATACCAAAAAGGTTACATTTATAGGCCAAGCCTTATAATTTGACACCTCAATATCGATCTTACAGAGCAATTCTGGCAACTGTCAACTTTCAACTCACCACAGTCTTTCGTAAGACAATTGTCAATTCTGGCAACTATCTTAAACGCCCTTTACTGTCTTTCGAAAGACTTGAAACTGAAAAATCTGCTAACGAGGAGGTCTTAAATTAAATAAAAAAAAACATATATATATTTTTCGTTTTAAAACAATAAAAATTAATATAGAAAAGAAAATTACATTAAAAAAATGTATCAAAAAAGGAGGAAATAGTACTTTAAAAATTAAATTAGATTAAAAATAATTTTATTAAAAACTGACATCCTAAAAATGAAACGAAATAAAAAATAAATAAAAAATAAAAATAATTAAATCTAAAAAATTTAAATAAAATGGAATAACGGAATAGAAGAATAACAAATAAAATAAATTTCAAAAAAGTAAATTATATTTAAAAGAAATATTTTTATTTTTAAAAAATAAAATCTAAAAATTAAAAAAAAATAAAATATTATAAAAAAAATAAAATAAATTTATTTCAATGAAAAAATAAAATCAGCTCTTAAAAATGAAATGAAATTAAAAAAAGAAAAAATCTTTAAAAAATAACAACCAAACCATTAAAACAAATTTAGTTAAGAAAATAACTTTATCAAAAAGAGAAAGAAATGCATAAAATTAGTTTCTAAAAATTAAATTAAATTAAAAAATATACATATATGTACATGCATATAGCCTGTAAAATTAAAAATCTGAAAAATTAAATAAAAAAGGCAGTTAAAAAAAAAAGAAAAAAATCCGCTGCGTCAGGACTCGAGCTGGCGCCCCCCAATTGGCACGCCTGTGCTTTGCCCACTCTGCCATTGCGATATTGATTTACAAGTGCTTTCTCTCACAATAGCGTTTCACCACGAGTGGTGAATAAGAGAGCTTTTTTCTAAGAGTTTTGTGCTAGAATAACAAAAGTTTTTCGAACTACATATCTTGCCATCTCTTCAGCCCTTGGAAACCTTCAAGAAATGAAGACAGTTTCAGAGGCTGTTTTCCGCCTATCCTTCCCCATAGAGGTGCCAGTACAGGTCATTTCCGAATGGGCGTCATTTTCTGGAATGTTGATCCAAATATGCGGAAACAAAAGTTTACGAGTCAAGCCCTAAATTTAAGAGGTTACAATATTACTATATCGACAATCGAGTTCAATGAGGCATTGAAGTAATCGGAAGCACAAAATCGAGGGAGGCCTTGTTGTAGTCTATCTTCTTTCCATTATTCTTTCACCTTCCTTGTACCAAGATATTGTTGCTTTAATTAAACAAAAAAAATCAATTTCTTTTCCTTTCAGTACCCGGCGCCGAACCACTCGTTGTGCCACAGGAGCTGCCCTCCATACTATCGTTAATCTATTCGAATATACCACCTATTAAAAAAGGTAATTAAACTCACCAACTATTTGCTTTGTTGTCCATTCAAATAATCCGCTAACCCCACTACTTTCACCCCACCTCAGGTACCGACTCTCGCCTCGGCTTCGGCTTTCGTCTCGGCAATCATGCCGACTTTCAAGTACTACTCGAATTAGGACCACAGAAAAACACACGTCCGATCGGCGAGAATGCTGATTCGGAAAATAATTTTAATAAAAGACAAATTAGCAAAGCGCATCGAGACTATCTGCTGCGGAAGCAGGCACAAGAGGCGCTCAAACAGCTAACCAGTAGCACCACCACTGACGCCGTCAGCACAATCACATCAACCGAGCCTACAGCTGCCAGTTGGTTGGAGAATTGGTCCAAAGCTATGCATTCGAATATGAATAGCAACAACAACAACGACGCTAGCGCTGGCATTGCGGTGAGTAAAAAGAAATCATCGCCGAAATTTACACAAATCACAGCGAAAAAGCACCAACAGCAACAACAGTCGGAGAAGTTGCAACCAAATTTGGCTGATGGAGACAAGTCAATGATGCAGCTGCAAATGCTGTATCGAATGGCCACCACTACTGCTCCAAGCACAACAACAACGGCACCAGTTACAAATTCAGGTACGGAGGCACCAATAACCATCGTCACACCGGTGCCATTTAAAGGAGGCCCTTCGAATTTAGGCGGCCCTGCGGGTTTTACGCCACGTCCGCCCGAGGAGTTGGCATTGCAAACTATTTCAGAACAGCAGAGTGAGAGGAAAACTGAGAGTGAAATAACAAAGGAATTGATGAATGTGAGCCTCGAGGAGGAAGAGTAACTCCTTTCCGGTTAGTTTCTGTTAAATTCGAAATCGTACAAATTTGTAAATATATACATACTTATATTTTGTAAAAAAAGATTAACTCCATTGTGAATAAAAATTAAGCAAAGTACACATGAAATTAAAGGAACAAAAATATAAAATATTTTAATATTAACCTCAAAATTTTACATAAAGTTTTGGTGCCATCTTTGCATGCTCAGAGTGTTCATCGGAAGTGTTGAGGAAATATGGGCCAGTATGTTTAAAGCTTAGTCCTGCGAAGGCAGCCTAGGTGAGGAGGTCATCCCCAAATAGCTATGGAAACGATGTTAAGTCCGACCGCCTATTGTGCAGTGCTCTGTTCAGCAGCATCCATTTCAGAAGATACGACCTCAAAGATATCCTGCCAACTAATTCACTATCACTGAGTCCGGGAAGTCTTTCGAATGACAATTGTCAATTCTGGCTATTATCTTGAAAAATTCTATTCTAATTGAAAGATTTGCTAACGATGTGGCCAGTTTGTGTTCTAGCAAAATTTTCTAAAAATAAAAAAAAATAAAAAATATCTATACATATATGTTTTTTCCTTTTTAAATATTGTTTTAAACTAAGTAAAATTAAAAACCAAATTAAAAGAAAATTAAATTTAAAAAACCTAGTACTGCATACTAAGATGTTTCGGGCTCCGGCGAAGTCGATGAGCCTCAGTCCGTTATCGGACATTTCGTCGTGGAGGCATTGAAGTCGCCAAGTACGACTTTGATATCATGATGGGCGAAGTTCTTCTATGCGCTCATAGAAACTATCCTTGGACACATTGTCCTTCTCCTCCATCGGGGGATTGAGTACAGCAACTGTAGCTGTATACCCAGAACAATGACTATACCCTCGCTTAATAAAATTACGTTGTTCCTTTCAATCATATTTTATCGCATGCGGCGATCCTATTTTGAATTTTTATCGGCTTAAAGTTATCTCGAAACAAAATACTTCGGACAAATAAAACACGAAGTGTACAGAAAAAATTAGAAAGTCCCAAAATATCGCAATAGCTCTCTGGAAATAATGGGAATACCTCAAATAGTAAAAATGAAACATCCCTAAAAAGCTCTAAAAGTAAAAGTTGGTTTCAAAATTTCAGGCATCTGTTTGCATAAAAAAGCATAAAAAACTGGAACCTAAAAAAAAAATATTCCTTAAACTTAGTACTTAGTCCCGACAAATAAAACCAGAAGTATGTAGAAAACAACACGAAAAAACTCAGAAACATTCCAAAATATCACAGTACCTCACAGAAGATCCCGAGAAATTTTCGAAAAGGAAAACAAGGGAAACCCTAAAAGTTCCGTAAAAATACAAATTTTTGACTGTGTATTTTCGTTTTAAAAAATACAAAAAAAAAATAACTTTTATTTACATTGTGTGAAAAGTAATAAGTAGACAGCGGATGTTTATCCAGAAAACGAAGCCTAAAAATATGTACCAAAAACTGTAAGCAAATAGGGAGTTCACAAGGTGTTGTATACTTACTTTAGTTATTAGTTATTAAATTAAAGATATTAAATTAAATTGTTAATTTTTCCATTCAAAATTTCTTAAAACGACTGCAAAAAAATGATTTGTAAAAAAATCGAGTTCCATGCTAACAGCCAGTTTCACCAAATTATTTAAGTGAAAATTACTTTAATTTCGGTTTCACCAATCAATTTTAATTTTGATTTAAGTGACCTACGCTCTGCACTTAAATAAATAAGTGCACACTCCACACTCAGAGGTGTTACACGTTTATTCACCTGATCATTGTGCATCTGCTGCTTACTTGTATACCAGCCCTGCTTTTACAACACAGCGTGCCAAAGCTTTCAAAAGCTCTCAGTACAAATGAAAGCGAAAGCTAGTCCTAGTCTGTTTTACAACCACTTTTTACTCACTTAAATAAATAGTTTATTGAAACTGAAAATAATTAAAATGAGATTTAAATCAAAAATTAAATTAAAGTTAATTTCCACTTAAATAGTTTGGTGAAACTGGCTGTTAGACTTGCTATATTTTAAATGCAAATTTATTTTGTGGAAGCGTTCCCGTACTCGGTTCTCTGGCTCCTTTTGCTCTTTGACAGTTCTATAGTTTTTAACCCAGAAAAGTTGGCGAACGCAACTAGTGTTTATTTTTTTGAAAAAAGTTGCCACCTATTAAAACCTGCAATTCAAATTAAAGAGTTTATTTCTTAGCTTCATGTGGGAGGGTTGCCACCTATTCAAAAAAAAATTCCATTTGAATTAAGGAAATTGGTTATTGAATTATGTATCGCGATATATCTCTTTTATTTGTTTTTATGTTTTATTTTTTTCTCGTTTATATTCAATGAAAGGCGAATTTGCGATTTCCAGAAGAGGCGCCGATAAGTCCAGAATAATACGAAATATTGCAATTAAGATCGAATCCTTGATTTAAAATTTTTCGAGATACTTCATGAAAATGGCGTAAAGAAAATTTTTCCCCTTCTATACAATTTTTAAAAATGGACTTTTGGCAACTTTTCACTCTAAGCTAGCGATACATATGCACATATGTATGCAAACAATAAACTAACGCACAACCATTTGTACCAGTGCACTAAAAATGTAACTTAAGAAAATGTGAAGCAAAATCTAAACTCAACAGATCGCTAAGTTTTTAAAAGTTCTGCTAATTTATTGGTAATGGAATACATACAAAATACATACAAAGTACATACGAAATTACAGTTTGAAGTTTATGCGAAGTTGTGCGAAGTTATGCGAAGTATGCATAATCAGACCATAATGCAAGCAAGCAAAATAGTCTTCAATGAAATTTCCTTGGTGCAGCAAATGTTTTGTTTTTTATTTATGTATGTATTTCTAATTTTTATTTAAAGTAGCTAAATACTTGAAGCTTTCACTAATTTGCATTAAAATTTAATGCTTTAATTAAGACAGCGTACTCAAAATTACCATTAATTTGAAAAATTAAAGATAAAAGAGGTACTGTTTAGTAAGTGGCCGAAATATTTCGGGGTATTGCGTCCAAAGGGATGACCCGATCCAAAAAAAAAAAAAAATTGCACACACTTGTAGTCAAGGGTCTACACATTATTTTAACACCAACATTTGTAATTTTCGGCCACTAATTTATTGTGAAATTCTGTTTGAAATATGCCCTTTTTTGTAAAATTCGGAAATTAGCTTACATTTATCACTCTTATTCTCCTTAAAGCAGCCACTTCACCAATACATTTTTATATTCCACTTCACTTTACACTTTATTCTATTAGTTATTACTTTATTTTTAACGAATCAATTACAATTTGTTAAATAAAAACACCGTCATAATCACGCGTCAGCCTTTGGTCGTACATGCAAATTAAATGGCGGGGTTCAACTGTCAAACTTGAAAATTTACAGAAGGATGAGAGACAAAAGAAAATAAGATCAAAAAAACATAACATCAAACAAAATTTGTTCGCATAACGGAAATGAAAAAAATCATCATCAATTGCACCCTGCGAATGGGGAACCCTATGCAAATTTCCAGCCCAGACAACAACCTCAAATGCCGAATCGGTTTGGGTACTAAATTTGCGGTTCGGGACATTTTTCTCTTTCTTTTGTATCGCCATTCTTTTCCCGCGGAGAAGCAAACCCTGCGCCATGGAAGAGAAACTTCCACTGGAATGCACTACCGGAAGTATAGGGTGAAGCATTTCTCTTGTTCTTTTTTCTTCTTTTTCTCTTCTTGTTGACGTTTCACATTCGCGATTGAAGTAATTTGTGGCAAAGCAAAATCATTGCACGGCGAATTGGTTTTAGTCATAAAACGCGCGTCGGCTGATTTGGTCTAAATTTTATTGGTATCCTTGATTTTCGCACATTTATTACATTTTTGTGGTGTTAATTAAGAATCAATGTTTGGAATGTGCAATTATAAATTAAAGGAAGCGAAAAAGTAAACAAATTGTAAAACTTATAAACAAATTAAATGCAATCATGCTACTGGGCGAATGGCTGGCATTAAAATAAAATTGGCTTTATGAGCCATTCTTTATGATAAAATTTTAAGAATACATTTGTGTCTGGAAAGTTTGTGGCGAAAATTATTATGTATGTACTTGTGTTAAGAAATATGCAAAGAAAAGTTTGATCGCAAAACGTGCAACTTGCTTTAGCTGGGTAATTGCGAAGAAGCAAATTCTAAATTTTTGCAAATTATCTGCATAGTTTTGTGTATAACAGCGAAAAGCCAAAAGCCAAAAGCCGCATTGAGAAGTGTTTGTGCGTTTGTTAGCGCCGCCGGGCAGCGCAGCTGTATAAAGTGTGGAAATACAAGTCCGCTTTGCTGCCTTGCCAAGTGCAAGCGAAACTGCGACGCGCTACAGCTGCTTTCGCTGCCGTCTGCTACGTTGGCGTTCCTTCGCTCTTTTGGTGTGTTTTTGCAAATGCCAAACTGACTGCGCTGCTTTTGTTTGCCTGCAAAATTACCAATTGCAACTTTGCGAAAATTCGTTGTGGCTGCAGAAAAACGCTACGCTTGCAATTTGTTGCATATTTACCTATTCGTTTTGTTATTATGTGTATTTATTGCAAACAATTAATGGAAAAAAAATTTGTCGATATGTAACTTGTTGGGAATTGTGTAAAATAAAAAAGTTTTGTGTTGTTACAATTAAATGTGACACAAAAAAATGATGGATTAGTGAGTGATAAGAGCACAAAGTACATATGTAGCTAAATGCGATTTAATTAAAGAAAGATAAAAAAAAGGCGTGTGTGCGTGTGTAAATTAAATGCTTATCTGCATTACGTACAAAAAGAAAGGTGGAAA